ACAGAAACAGCTAAGATCGACACCCATATTGGTGGGGGTCGGCGAAAAATTAAATTTTAGGCGCGCGAATCGAGACGACGACTTGTGCGAGCGGCGACACGACGACCAACACGATGCAATATTAAAATTTATTTTTATTTTTGTACAATTTAATTAAAAAAAATTAGAAAAAAAGAGAGAAAGAGCCCTTTTTTTTTAAATAAAAAAAACCAAAAAAACCCGATGCGTCCGGAGCAACGGAAACAGCTAAGATCGACACCCATATTGGTGGGGGTCGGCGAAAAATTAAATTTTAGGCGCGCGAATCGAGACGACGACTTGTGCGAGCGGCGACGCGACGACCAACTCGATGCAATATTAAAATTTATTTTTATTTTTGTGCAATTTAATTAAAAAAAATTAGAAAAAAAAGAGAGAAAGAGCCTTTTTTTTAAATAAAAAAAAACCAAAAAAACCCTAAATACTCACTTAAACCCCTCATCCCAACCCCACTCTCATCTCACGACACTTCCACGCCTCCAAGCCGCGAACTCCCACTCCCTCACGCGATTCCAACCGCCGGCCTCCCTCTTCTCCACCTCCAAGCAAGGTAAACCTCTCCTTCTTCCTCTCTTTCTTCTTCTTCTTCTTCTTCTTCCTCCATTCTCCATTCTTCTTCTTCTTCTTCCTTCCCTCTTCTTCCCCTTCCTTATTTTTCATCAACCCTCATCTTCCCTCCAAGTTTCCCACCATTTTTTTTTATTTTCTTCCTCTACTCCCTTCTCCTTCCTCTCCTTCATCTTCTTCTTCATCCTCCAACCTCTCTTTCTTAAAACCTACAAAATCCTAAACCTTAATTTTTTTTCCCTCACTTCCACTCACCAAACCACATACATCCCTTCACAAAAAATGTTCCTACACACCTCCTACACCCTTCCAACAAAAAAAAATTCAATCCTTCGTCCTTCATTTCCTTCATTCTCTCTCTCTAACCTAGAGAGAGAAAATTTTCTCTCTCTAGAATGAGAGTGAAATTCCTTCATGTACGGCTCTATTTCCATCCTAAGCGTCTCCCCTTCCCACCATACCTCCAAATACTTTGCCTAGAGAGAGAAACAAATTTCCCTCCTCTCTTTCTCTCTCCAAAAATGAGAGAGAGAGAGAGAGAGATTTTTCTCTCTCTAACCCCACTCCCCTAATCTCCCACACACTCTAACCCACTCCACCAGAAAAACCCATAAAATCCTCTCTTTCCCTCTCTTTTTCTCTCTAGAAAGAGAGCTCTCTTCCTTTCTTTCTCTCTCTACACTTTGTTTTAAATAAAAAAAAGTATAAATGATTAATTTTATTGCACAAATAATAATAATAAAAATTTGAAATTGTGCATCGCAGGTTCCTACGATGCCGTCATCCGCCATCGCCGCCTCGATTGCTGCACACCTAAGGTAAAAACTAGTATTTACATTTCTATGCATGAAATAAGTACTCGTGACCGCTTTTCTTAGCGGGCGAGGAGAACTTAAGTACCCGTGACGCACTGAGCGAGCGGGGAAATTCGTATGCATGAAAATATAAGTACCCGTGACTGCTTTTCTTAGCAGACGGAGAAATTTGTTATTTGTAAAAAAAAATTATTTAATTAAGTACCCGTCACTGTTTTTAGGCGGAGAAAATGTCATACTTTAAATCTGTGCTCAAAGACCCCGTGACCGTTTTTTTTAGCAAGCGGGGATTGGAACTGCGGCCGCGGTGTCACCCGACACCTACCGTGACTGCCTTTCTTGGAAGGCGGGAAGGCCTTACACACTCCGAGGCAGCCCCCTACGCGGGACGACGCCGGAGTGCTGCCAAAATTTTCAACCAAAACCCATGACTTAGAAATTTTTTTAAGAAATTAAAATACACCTACAAGCATATACAAGGAGTTCGTGGAGACGCATTCAAATGAATAACTAAAATTTGAACCTAAATGAGAACTTAACTTGAGCTCAATATGGACATTAATTGAACCTGCAAACATTTGACTCAAACTTGAATGAACATAAACTCTAAAGAACTTGAACATGATCTTGTACATTTGAACTCAAGCAAGTTGGATCATACGGAGGGCTTCATTTGAACTCGAACTCGATCGGAACATGACATGAACTTGAGCCTAAATGAATTTGTAACAATTTAAATCAAATTTGAACATTGAAGTAATATTGAAGCAATGCTCCAACATTTTGAGCTAGAACAAATGCAAAAGAACAATGATTCAAGATTTTGACTTGGGACAATTATAAAGAACTTGACTTGAAAATGATATCAAAATCTTAATGGAATGTTAAGGAATTGTCATCTCAAGTTGAATGCAAAATGCTAGCCAAAGAGATCTAAATCATTCATAAACACAAGTTGAAGGACTCAAATAAACATCAAAGGAGGAGCTTTGAAGAATGTGATTTGGAGGATAATCAATGTTCCTATGAAATTATCATTCTAATGAGAATGCGAACGTTAATTAAGGAGGGCAATCCATCCAAATCTCATCCAAGCAAGAAATGACTCATACACAAATTTATTTCAAGATTTAAAATGGTAATTTATTTGAACAATAATAAGCCACTTGTGTTGATCATCTTAATTGGGATGAAGAGATGGATGAATATCAAATCCATCATATAGATTGCAAGTTATCTTTGCGAATCATATTTGAAGACAACAAACTTGCAATTAACCTATTTGTAAGTGATAAGAAGATCATGAGAATGATAGTTTGATTGCAAAGCCATGAATACAAGGACTTGGGACCCTTAGGTCTATGATTGCACAACAAGTTCAAAAATATAAAATCTTGAATGACGATGTTCTAAATTTTTAATCCAATGCCAGTAAGCAAGTAGAATATCCATGACATGCAAAAGACAACAAATGCATGTGATATTCGTGTAAAGGTAATAACCTGTTCTTGAAGAATAAATGTATAATGTGCATACAGATAAATATAGAAGAATTGTGATAAATGCAAAAGCCCTTATATACAACGAAAGATCTGCAATACATACACTCTCTAAGAATACATATGTATGTATAACATGCCACTTATGGGTAGATGCAGAAAGGCTATAGTAAATGCAGTATCATGTAGTCAACTTCAGTCTAAAGATGAATACATCTACCTCCAGCAATGACGGATGTACTACACGAGCCAAATAACACAACAAAGTGCATGAAGAATACGACATATACAAGATCACACGAGTTTCTACTGGAGTTCCACTACGAATATTACATGCTACCTATGAATAAATGCCAAAGAACTACAACAAATACAAGCATTGACAAACACAAAGCAGGAGATTAGTTTGTAGACTATGACCCACCTACAAAAATCAACAAATAGTGCACGACAGTCTACCTGTACAAAGCAGCAAACAACTGATCCAGAAGCTGGTACACCACGCCACCGGATCTGCAACATTCGTACAAGCAGATAGAAGGCGTCCACAACTATAACGCCATGCCACCGGATCCGCAACTTCTATGCAAGCGTACAGAAGACATCTATGAATACTTTCAAAGTACCCCCACACGTGCACCGTAATTTGTATACACATAGGTACATTAAAAGGGGTAAAAGCAATCATCGAACCCGCATGGGCCCCGGCGAGTGTGTTATTGGTACACACGTGACGTCTAGGGATGCTGCG